CCATTCCTCTTTCTCTGTCAGTAGAGAGATCTAGAATTTAAACACAATTTATAAGTCAGTTCTAGCAGCTGGCTGGCAAGGAACAGCATTTCCTTGTCAAATCTGAAATGAAGTGAGCTTGCAGGTCTCAGCCCATTGAATCCCCAGCTCTCAGTGTGAATTTAATCCCAGTGGTGTGTGAATTTAAGCCCTGTGAGAACTAAACCCACCCATGCCTGGGATCCCATGTGCCTCCCCCTCACCACCTGCACCCCACTTCTGGAAATCCTTTGCCTCCCTCTTCACACCAGGCCCGTGCAGCTCTGCATCCTCCCTCTGCCTGGCAGAGGCAATGCCAGCAGCAGGCAGTGCGGCACTGAACCTCTGCCTCCTGCATCTCTGGGCTGTGCTCTGGGATGCTCCTGCACCACCGACCGTGGGGATTCTCATTCAATCTACTGCTATTTACACTGCTTCCTCAGAAATCTTCTGGTGTAGGACAGAAACAGGGGAAAGGACCCCACCAGCTTTGTGGATCCATAGAAATAAGACAGCGGGCAGCTCTGCAGGGTAGAACTAGGGATGAGGAAAACGAAGGGTGAAAGATAGATGAGAAGACAAGGAAGAAATGCTCATAAGATCATGTGAAGGGAAAGAAGTGGCCCATCAGCACACGGCAGTGAAAGAAGCAGTGTGGGGAAGAGACGCAGCACCAGGACTGCGTCCAGCGCCTGTGCCCTGCCTTGCCTTGCCTTGCTGTCAGCTTTTCGTTTCTGCAAACACCAAAATTGCACTTAACTCTCATCCGCTGCTCAGATATAACAAACTGGAAAGGGAACAGATCAGCTCATTAATTTTCCTTGGGAAGGGTCTCTAGGCAGGAATTATTTTCTGCATCAACATCCATTCAATTATTCGCCTTCACACCAGTAAGATCTACAGGGATGTCTAACCCCATGCGCATCACTCATACCTGCCTGCCCTGTACTCCAATCTCTTCCTTCTCAGTATAAAAGCCTCCTGTATCTATCCCTTTCCTAATAATAACGACAACATGACAAAACCAATAACCTACAGATATAAAATACATTTCATTTACTTGCTTCATAAGACCCTGATAAGGCTTCGTCATTCACTTTTTGAGATCCTGTAGGAGATCTACAGGAGCTAATGAAAGAATTAGACAAGGCATCACTCATAATAAAAAGTGTTTTAAAAGCATTTGGTGCCAAGCAGGAATTAGGCTGGAAGCTCTGCAGCCATTTCAAAGTTGTAAGAGGTGCATGCACCTCTGTGTGCCATGAGCTCATGGGTCTCAGCTGCCAGACGTACATTTACACTCCATATATACGTGGTCAGAGGGCTGAGGTAGGTTCTGCCATTTTTCTTGTAGAGCAAAGATTTTTGAGCAGCTCAGGTACACATTTAAGCACTCCAAAGCCTTAGAGAGAAATATCTGAAGGAAGACTAGGAAAAGAATAGGAAGCATGGTCTGCAGTAATGGGAACCACCATCACCTTTCTGCTCCAGACCCACTGTTGAACAGGGGCTCCCTGTAGGATGCAGGAAAGAGAGGGGAGGGATCCCAACAGAAGCTGAACGCCCAAAATGACACTGCTGTTTGAAGCAACACGAAGCTGTGAAGATACTGACTGAGAATGCTGAATGACTGGACAGACAGGAACCGTAAAATCCTAAAAGCCCAGGAACCAAATTGTCCTAAAAGCCCAGGAATCAAATTGTTCAAGGGGAACTCGCTTACTGGTTGCAGCATATCTGTGCGTACAGGCTGAGCCTCCACGTTCCTTTTTGCTATTGGATATCTTGGCCAAGATAAAGAAATACAATTTACCACAGCATTGGAATATGAAGAGTTCACCATTTCTGACAGCCTACAGTGCTGGCTAGTGCTAGCATTCCCTTATGTCCCCCAAAGTGAAGTCAACCTCATCAGAGCCTTCCTATTGTTAGCAGAAGATTGTTTTGGCTCCTTCTTTGATTATTTTCTCATTGATATTCCTTTGCCCTCCTCTTCGCTGACTCTCAAAACCCTATGGGCCTGCACCATTTCTGTCCCACACTCTTCTCCAGGTATTTTTGCCACACTGTGAGCAGGGTGTGAGCAGATTCCAAGGGTTTGGCCATTTCCAGAGCCTCCTTGGGAGCAACTCTTTCCCTTCCCAAACCCGTCTAACCCATGCACCATGGGGGCAAGGAGCCTCTGCAGCACCCTTCTCCACCCAGATTGCGACTCTCACTTGGGAGATCAAGTGAATCAGAGGCATCTTTCTGATTCCTTATGCTGAGAAGGAAGACAACCTTCTGGCTTATCAGATATGGCATCTGGGGGTTGCCCAGTGGCCCTCTCATGTGTGTCTATTGGGGGTATTTGGCTGTGCCATTCTGGGATTAAGGAGTGACAGCCACCAGCCCATGCAGACTTGGGATGAGGGGAGCCAGTCAGAGGCATCCTCAGCCATGAGGCACAGCCATGCCCATGTCAGTGCTCAGTGTATGGCCATGGAACTCCTGTTACCTAGCTCACCCCAAAGTTTTGGGACAACCTGTGTCCTCAGGCTGGTGAGGGTCAGAGCAGGGCTTGCTCCCAGGCAGTTCCTAGAACCTTCCAGCCTCTCTTACAACTTCTGCCCCACATCCAGCAGTTTTAGGGAGTCAACCAGGCTCTTCCATTTGTGGTGGGGACAAAAGAGAATCCCATCTGTCTTGCTACCTTTCCCAGCTCTTGTGTAGGGTTGCAGTCTGATTTTGCATGAGAGCATGGGCAGGGGACCAAGATGGCACTGGGAGGGGCTGGGAGCACTTTGGAACCCTTGATAGGGAGCATCCTGACACTTTCCCTTATCACGCAACTACTTCTCCACAGTCCCTATGGGGTCCTGTTGGATGTAAATGAGAAGGAGCCTTGAGGTCTTCCACTCCAACAAACCTCACCCACCCCTTCCTCCTCCTCCTCTGATCGTGTCCCTCTGGATCTGGCTGTATGGGCACATGGACATAATCTGAATTCACTGCCACTACTGGCCAGGGTCCTCACACCTCTTATCTCCTCCCCAGCCTCCCTCTGCCCTCTGGCTCGGGGACACAGCTCATGAGGAGAGTTCTCCCTGCAGCCTGCCTCCCTCCTCACATGGCTTTGCTTTTGGGCTTGCTTTTTTTTTTTTTTTTTTTTTTTTTTTTTTTTTTTTTTTGCCTCCTCTCTCATTAATTTTTAATTAAGGAGATGTCTCTCTACCCTGTTGTAATGAATAGCTGTGCGAAAGGCTTTTCATTCTTTATTAATATATATCTCCATATATTTATCTATTTGGAGGAAATGCGTGCATGTGCGCGAGTGAGTGTGTTTAAAACATCCCCCATTAATTTACTGCTATTGATTTTCTGGAGTGGAGACAGCATATAGTATTCAGCATAGAGCTCCTCTGCAGGATATGTTAAAAGGCAGCAGTTTGGGTTGACAAAGGGCACTAAATGCAGTATGCGTCAAATAGACCATCGCTCAATGAAGTCACTTAGCTATTCAAAACATGTCCAGCCATCACTCAACCGTTTGCACCAAGAACGGGGGGGAAATTTGCTCTTCTTCCCGGACACAACCATTTCTAAACAGCAGCTTTAGCTTGCTTTGGTGGGAGACATTAGGACATACACAGTTTATTCCCCCTCCCCCTGCCTTGCATCTCCCAGTGCACTCTCAGAAAATCGCTCCTGCGGTACCTGCTTCCCCTCTTGCCCATCAGGGAGCTCCAGGCACACCCAGCTCTGGGGGGCACTAGCAGACCCAGGCGTTATCCGCAGGCACCCATCAGCCCCCGTAGCCCACTCTCTGGCTGGGGGCTGATTCATAAGCAGCATTTTGATACCAGGCTGCAATGTGCGCTGCCTTGCTCTCGCTCCCTCCTTCTCACTACGTGCATAACAGAAAACCACGCATTTACATTGGTAGCCCCTACTCCTCCAGCACCAGCTGCAGTCCACCTCCCCAGCCCATATGTATGCCAACAGCAGGACTGAGCAACACATATTTAAAAGTGAACCGCTGGCCCCTCGCTTCTCTCCCCCTCCCTTAGGAACGTCTGATTCCAGAAGTTGGCTGCGGCAGTGGCTTTTCTGCCATCAGACATGTCACTGAGTTGCTGTGCAGTTTCACCACATAAGACTTAGGCTGATTTTTCTATACAGACACTTGTTTATTTTTAGCTTCTACCATAAGCCTTAAAGAAAAGCCCCCAAACAAAAATCTACCCCAATAACAAACAAGTGGGGGAAAGATTCCAGCCCCAAAACAAACCAATCAGGTGCCAAATAGACCCCCCCTGCACCCAGCCCAGTAAGATGTGGTTGCTCACAGACATTATGAAATGCTCTGAACTCTGCTCGAGAGGACTGGAATCACCAGATTTACCATATTTTGGACATAGCAGGGTTATTTCACATTCTCTCTTTTTTCCTTTCTAAAGGGAACCAATAATTGCATCTGAATTGCTTTGCAGTCACCTCCTCCCCACATTGCCCCTCACTCCCAGTTAGTCTTTGCAAATAAGCCATTTGCAAAGAGACAAATTATTTCACTCTGTGGTTGCAGACGGAGCACAGCAATAACACAGCATTTTGGCATTGCTTTCCCAGGCAATACAAACAATCTGAAGGCAGGTAGACCACGTAGTTGCTTTCTGAAAGGGTGTCTTGGTGTTTTTGTAAGACACATATTATTCCCGTCAGAAGGGGGGGAGTAAAATTCTGGGGAGAGTGTAGGGCAGAGGCTGAGGAAGGGAAAAAGGGAACGCAAAGGTGCAAAGAATAATTTTCTTGTCTTCTTGCCTCCGTGCCCCACGTAACTAAGCCCACCACTCTCAGTTGTGGTGGAAGGAATGAAGTTAGAAAATGGTGGAATGTGAAGGGATTTACTGGGAGTAGTGGGAGGGGGGGGGGAGGGGGGGGTATGGGATAGGGGGAGAGGAAAGTAAGGGGGGTGCGGGGGGTGGAGATCCAGAATCAAATACCTTCCAGGCAGCAGGTTCTCCATAATCCAGAATGGGTCATGACTTCCTCGTTCTTTTTGCTGGTTTCGTTCTCACTGACAGTTTTAGTCTTGCAAACCCCTCTGGAGTAAAGCCAGTAGTCGGTCCCCACAGCTATGGTCATCAGGCTGAAGGCAGCGAAAGCACCAACGGTGGTTAAAAGCATCTGAACACCTCTGTCAAAGAGCCCCATAATTCTTCATTATACAAATACCCAACCGCCTTCTGATTCTTGGGGTGCGTGTGTTTAATAAAATAAAAGAATAATAATTCCGACTAATAATATAATGGGTATATATAGAGAGATAGATATCAAAAAAGAGAGGTAAGAAAGCCCACGGAAAAGAGTGTAAATTAGAAAGACCACACGGGAACAGGCTTGCCTTTTAAATCGGAAACGTTCTGGTTGAAATATAAAAAAAGGAAAAAGAAAAAAGAAAAAAAAAAGAGAGACAAAAGAACCAAGAAAAAAAAAAAAACAAATAAAGAGAGGACCCCCCCCAAAACGAGACGCCTTAATCCCTTTTTCTAAAATTCTGGTCTCCAGTTTCCATATGTAATGGCTAATTTGGAGATGGCTTCCACAGTGAACAGGGGAGCAGCAGCAGCATCCTCAACACAATCTCTCATTATCTGGACCTAGACAGTTAGAGACTGTAAGAGCAGAGATGCAACCTTCAGTCTTCTTGCTTAGCTCTGCAGCCTGCGCCATGAAAATCCTTTTCCTTCCCAGTTATCTTCCTTGGGTTTTTATTTTTTTTTCCCCCGGCAGCGGCAGTCGCTCCAATCCTCTCTCACTTTTTCTTGCTCGCTTCTCCTTCCTTTCGTTCGCTCCTACCACCAAGCCAGACTGCCCAGTATACTGTAAGCCCTTGATTTCAGCTGAACAGGTGCCGAGGTCTTGCCTCCCATGGCTTTTCCGCACAGCCGCGGCGCTCGCTCCCGGCGGAGGTGGGCGAGGAGAGAGGGGGGCTCCTGGGGGAGGAGGGGGACAGGCGCGGCGCTCTCCTGGGCTGGGGGCACGGAGCGGCGTCAGCTGCGGCACCCCCTGCCCCGCGGCGGCCCCCGGCGACTCCTGGGCCCCGCTACTGCATCAAGGCGGCGGCGAGGCGCTGGACAGCTCCCCCGCGGCGGCGGCGGCCCGCGGTGCTGAAGGACAGCTCCCCGGTCCGCGGCGCGGGAGGAGCGCTCCCGGTCCCCCGGTGCTGAAGGACAGCTCCCCGGGCGGCAGTGCCGGAGCGGCGCTCCGCGGCCCGCGGTGCTGAAGGACAGCTCCCCTGCCCGCGCCGCCCGCGCCGCCCGCCCTGCCCGCGCCCCAGCATCCGCGGGCGGCAGCCGCCCTCCTTCGCTCTGCGCGGGCAGGCAGGCAGGCAGGCAGGGAGGGGCGGAGGGGGTAGCCTCCCCCCTCCCTGTGCCTACCCCGCCGCTGCCAGCCCCAGGCTGGGTTGCTCCCCCCGGCTGCCGGAGCCCGGGGGAAGGCGTAGCTGGGACTCTCCCTCTTTCTGCCTTTCAGCCTTTCGCCCCCACCCGCACCCCCCTCCGCCCCCCGGCTCAGCGGCCCTCGCATCCCCGCCATACGTGCCCAGGGCGGCAAGCACAACCCGCACACGCTGCAGTTAGACCCGCACAAAACTTCAGGCAGCCGTTTTCTCTCCCCAGGAGACGGGTGACATGTAACTTGGAAGGGTAATTTAAAAATAAGCATTTATTTCTCTTATTTTTGTTGTCGTTATTATTTTTAAGTGCTTGCTTCTCACTCTTCTCAGCTTTGCTGCAAGTTGCATATGTTTTGGTGTTGCTCGTTTTCCGTCCCTCTGTCTCCCCCTGACCAATGTTGCGTGAATCCCTGCATTTTGACTTTCTCTTCGTAGCTTTCTGTGAAATCCCATAGCTTGCTTCAAGCAGCAGACATTTTGGGAAGATTCTTCACAAGAAAGGTCGATTTCTTGTTATTACTTGTTATTTCTTGTAATTTTGCTAAGGAAAGGGACCACCAAACTGAATTCCTCTCCCCCAGCCCTGGAAAGTATCCCACATTTCAATCTTCATTTTCCACAGAAAGATCCATGAAGTGAATGGATGCAGACTGAAATCTATCAGCGCTTAAGTTTTTGTGTCAGACACAACCTGATAGTACCGAGAATGTATATAAAATTGTGCAATGCTAACATCTTAGTATGTCATAACTGTCTCTCCCTTCCTCAGCAGTATCATTACATCAGGTTAATTACATTAGTCACCTCCTCGTTCTATACATGTAGCTGCTCATTAATGCAGCAATCATAAAGAAAAGAAATCATCTAATTCATGATGCTTCCGATTTTGTTTCACTCTGATCAGATTCATTGTTCGGTGTAAGAGAGCAGAAGGGCTGCATTAGGTTCACTGCTCTTCTAGGGGAATTAAGGGGCTGAGGGGAGGGGGTGCCGGGTAGTTGAACCAGTTGGAGGGCTTCAGCCACACTGTAATTTCATAACTCCATTTATCTCCTCCATTGTCCTTCTCTGGGTACAATCTGGGTTCCAGGACAATCTCCCCCAGGACTGTTGAACATGAAGGACTCTATGGAAAGCAGCAGGAGAGGAGGGGGCACAAAGGGCAGCTGAGCATTTCCTCTGTTCAGCAGGGAGCTGAGTACATGACGGGACTTTACCAGCAAGCACGGATGGTGTGTGGCATCAGCCGTATGCAGATTGTTACCAGCAGGTCCTGGGGAGGCAGAAGAGATGGGGGATGAGGCAGGTGACAGTGCAGGGTGAGCCCACTAATACATTGCTGGGGGACAACCACAGTTCCTAGCCTCATCTGGGGGGGGTCCTGGCCTTCTTCTCTTGGAAAATGTTTTTATGTTTGTTTGTTTCTGCTTTTGTTGTTGTTGTTGTTTGGGGTTTTGTTGTTGCTGTTGTTGTTGTTTTTCTCTGCACTCATGGAGCTGCCAAACAGCTGAGGATGGGCAAGGGAGGAGATGGCCCTTGTGGGCTATGTATTTCAGCTTGGTGGAATAGTGGTGAGCATGGTAACTGAGGGCAGGCTCTCTAAACTGCTGGCCTTGGTTCAAATGAAGGGTGAAGAGATACAGAGTCCCCCTAAAATGGAAGGAGATTACAGCTCTACAGAGGTAGCTTGAGATGAGGAGGAGGTCCTCTAAGGCTTTTAGCTGGGGAAGCTACACAAGAACACCCTAGGACTTCTCCTCCACTCCTGAATGCTTTCTGCTGAAAGAAGAAAGGATAAGGGATGAATGTGCCATTCTGATGGTTCTGAGCCATTTATTTTTGTGTTGGTGGTACTACTCTCCATCCCACCACTGAGGTTCTATTATTCAAAGGAAAGCAGAAAATTTCAGCCAGAAACCTAGAAGACTGAAGAGGAAAAATTTCAGCAGACTGTGTTGGCACTAAAATCCATCAGGCATCAACTGAATACATGGAAGGGAAAGCCACACTGGAAATCTCTCCAAGCAAAGTAGGCTCCTCAATTACTCTGTGCTCTCAAAATAGTGCAATACAGCTCTCCCAGTAATATCACAAAGCATCCTGGCTGGAGTGAGTGGAAGCAGAAGGGACTCAGGCCTTACAAGAACCTCACCTGTGCCCAAACAGCAGGGTCATTCAAAGAGGATAGGGAGAGAAGGTATATTTTCACTGAGGGCTCCCCTGGGCACCCCATGCTGTTAAGTGTTTATTTCACTGTGACAAACTGGAAGGCTCCTTCAGATCAGGGTCTGTGGGGCTGCACAAATGGGAGCTGTCTTTTTGGTAGCTTCTGTTGGTAACTGAGTAGAGCGTGACAAGTAGAGTGAGTGAACAGCCGCTGTGGAAGTTGTAGACTGGGACTTGCAAGGCATCCCAACACAGAGAGAATTCACAGATTTCATCTGTAATTAGAAAAATACTGCTGGAACTGCTGGATTACTTATCTTTACATTTGACTAATTCAGATAATTTCAGAGGATGAAGCAGAAGCTGGGCCAAAACAGAGGCCCTCAAACTAATCTGTAACTGTTGCCTTTATTATGTATTTCTACAGATTTTGCAAGTTTGATTTCAAATGACTCCAGCAACAAGATAGGGACACATTCTCCCCAAAGAAACTGCCAGTATAAGAAGGCCAGGCCTGCAGAACAATGAGTCTTTTAATCTCTGGCTAAGAGCAGTGGGTCCTGTGATGGTTCATTATGTCTCAGGATCAGGACTAAAGGTGACTTCCTGCCTCACACTTCCCAATTTTCAGAAATAATTCTCTTCCTGCTACCCTACTTATATCCTCTTAAACCATTCGCAATAATCCCTCTACAGTTGTTCTAAATGCTGCTGGAGAAGAACGGAACAAAAGCAATGCAAATGCCAGAATGTCCTGTGTGACTGCTTGTGCTGTGGCTAGATGCTGTGCTGAGATTTCATCTTTCCTACAAAGAATCGTTAAAAATGATAATACAAAACAAGACTACAGACTAAAAACACTGTGGCAGAATTTTACAACAGTCGCATCTTACCGAATAGCGCAACACAGAATGACATCTATAGAGGAGTAAGGAGAGAGAAATTAATAGTCTGGAGGAAATAGAGAGATTTTAAATTACATTTTAAATTACTTGAAATGAGAAGCTGATGAGACAAGGAGCCGCAGGAAGTCTGCTTCCAATGGCAAACCAAGAGTGCTGCTATTTGTGGAGAGAAGGGGCAGTGCTGTAGGAAAGAAAGGGGCACAAGAATGATAAAGAAGGGAGATGAAGGGCATGAAGTCGGAAGCAACTCCATGGGATGGTAATGGAAGTGAATAGAGTGCCTCTGGATCGAGTGCTGCAGTGGAGATTTTGGGCTCAGGATAAAATCAGACAGCAATTTGGTACTGAGGAATCTTCATACTGGGCAGGCCATCTCAGAAGGAGCTGCTGTAATGAGATGTAAAAGAGATGGAGTTGATGCAGTTGTATTTGCAGGCAGAGCAGAGGTGTTAATAGACAGCTGCAACAGCAGAGGAGATGTTAGGAAAAAATAAATTGGGGTTAGAGTGATGATTAGAAAACTGAAAACCAATGGGGCAGAAAGATAGAAGTGAGATCTGATCCAGAAAAGGAATTAATATTTAAAAAGTTTCACTGGAGAAGGTTGAAAAAAACCCCATATCCATGTGTTTAGACAAGCAGAGAAGGAGATCAGAGCAGTCATCACTGGCATCTAAAGCTGGGGG